TTATGGCTCTCGATTTACCTATGCTTTATTTCACTTAAAACTCTCTAAACAAAAATCCAGCTTAATCCAAGATTCAGTCTCAGATTACGGTATCTATAGCCATTAGACTTACATTGATAAAACTTCTTTTTCTCATTATCATTAACCTCTTGCAGCAACTCATTTTTTCTTATTGTCTTTGTCTTTGAGGTGCACTTAGTAAATGAATTTTGCGAATATGATGAATACTTTCAGTGCTAGAATGATTTATTAGGGATGAGACTGTCAGATGCTTGCGTTTATTTGTTCTACAGACAATAAATGAGAAAAGAAGACTTTTTGTTTTCCTCATGTATCCCAGGAAATGATTCTTAGTAAATCATTATAGGGGAGAAAATTGGTTTGGCTGCTAAAAAAAGATTTTGAGACTTCTGATTCAGATTTCACTGTCTCTGATCTAAGGTTAATATTCCTTGTAATTGCTTGCGAACTTGCCAAGATAAGAAAATCTTCAAAACAACTTTTCTTCTGAGCAATGAATTCCTCTTTCTAATCTTTCAACTTCTTTCAGTCCTCTCCTCGCCATCATCCCTACCGCATGAGACGCCTTAGTGGTGGATCAACATGTTCTTCTGATTGCTCTCAGCCAAGTCCAAGCTCAGTAAGGTGAGAAAAACCTGCTGTGCAAAAATGGCTGTTAATTTAAAAAATTCTAAAAATTTCAGTTCTTTGCCCGATTCACCTCATCCAGCTATGCGAACCACAAGGGATATCCAGATCTTTGAGCGACTGCGTCGTTTTGTACCTTCAATCAGCTCGGAAAGAAATGCTTTTATGGTAAGAACTAATTCTACATTATTATCTCTCAGATTTGGGCTCGCTCTCAAATTTTTTTAAACAGCTTCTTATCCCTCTATTTTCTTCAGAAAAAAATCGAAAATACATGAAACGTCTTCGACTTAGCGCGCTACAGTGGTCACCACCACAACTTTTATGATTAGCAGCTGCGCGAATGGCACTGGATGGTACCGCTTTTTTTCCTCGGCGAAAACCGGTTTTTTCTCGGCATTCACGCGAAAGAAAAGATACCAGTTATGTGTGCGTATGCGCGCGCAAGCGATTGATGATACATGTCGGGAAGAATTTTGTCCTGCGAAATTTTTAAAATGGGCATGCAACCTTTTGAAGCTGTTTCCCCTGCTAAACCCTGAACTCAACTGGGTTCTTTAGATACTTGTGGATTATGTCTCACAAGTGATGGAATTGGAGCAGAGGCTTGACGAACCAGACGA